CTCTGACCCTCCTCCCTCTCATGCTCTCTGTCTCTCATTCTCTCTCCCTCTCAAATAAATAAATAAAATCTTAAAAAAATAAAATAAAATAAAATCTTATTTACTTACTTACTTATTTAATTTTAAGTCCTCTTCACACTTTCACGACCCTGAGATCAAGAACTGGGCTGAGATCAAGAGTTGGATGCTTATCCAACTGAGCCACCCAGGTGCCTCTTAAAAATAAAATCTAAAAGAAAAAACCAAAAAACTGCTGTACTTATCAAAGATGGATTTGTTAGAAGAAGCTTTTAGGGAGTACCTGGTTGGCATCTGTGACCCTTGATCTTGGGGTCATTGGTTTGAGCCCCACGTTGAGGATAGAGATCACTTAATGAATAAAAGTTAAAAAAAAAATCAAACGTTAATGGGGCATCTGGGTGGTTCAGTCAGAAGAGAGTCTGACTTGACATCAGGTCTTGCTTGATCTCAGGGTCATGAGTTCAAGCCCTGTGGTAGGCATGGAGCCTACTTAAAAAAAAAAAAAAAAGCTTTTGGAAGAGAAACAATGATACAAGTTTATTTTACTAGTGATAATGGTAAATTATAAAGAACTTTTACTGTTTTCTGGGAATTCATATTTCACTGTTACCATAAGCTTTCACATTTCATCAAATTCATAGGTTTTTAAAAATCTGTCTGGATTTGTTGTAAAAGCCAGGAGGCAGGTTTAATCATCTCCTTATGGTAATGATCTTTTTAGAAATTAAAGCCTTATGTTTGGAATTTATAATCATAGAAATGGTTCTAGATAAAACTTGGGAAATTCTTTACTGTTATATATTTGTACTGAAAACAGTACTTAAAAATTTTTAAGAAAACGGGTGCCAGGGGTAACTCATTTGGTTGGGCATCTGGCTCTTGGTTTTGGTTGGGGTCATGATTTCAGGGTTGTGGGATTGAGTACCGTGTTGGGCTCCACACTAGGCATGGAGCCTGCTTGGGATTCTCTCGTTCCCTCTCCCTCTGCCCCTCCCCCTGCACTCACGCACATGCTCGCTCTCTCTCGCTCTTGATCTCGCGCTAAGAAAAAATTTTTTAAAGAAAACAAATACTTAAATCATACTTGAAATATTATGTGTATTCAGTTGATGCACTCATTACCAAACCTGATTACAGTAATATTTCCACTAATGGCCCCTTTTTAACCTCTACCTCTAGTGAAGTATTTTTAGTTTGGATTGATTTTGATGTAAATGGTTTGAGAATGATTTTCTTCCCTTCTTTTTTTTTTTAAAGCAAACTTTGCATAACTTACTGAGCAAAGTTTCTCCTTCCTTTTCTGCTGAACTTAAACAACTAAATCAACAATATGAACAATTATTTTATAAATGGATGTTGCAGTTACGGTATGTACTATTATTATTTCATACCCTTGTAAAATAACAACATATTTATATGTGTTAAAGCAATTTAACATTGAGTTTTCTTTTTACAATCAACTTGATAATATTTTTTATATATAAAAATTTGAAAAAAATAGGTATTTTCCTAATTTTATGATTCACATGTAGAAATTTCATATTGTATGACTCATCTTAAATTCTAGTTTTCAAGAAATGTGTCTAAATTTATCAGATGTGAAAGCCACTGGTAAAATAACTTAAGAATTTCTTAGAATTCTAAGTTACTACTTATAAAAGTATTTGAAAATCTAATTTGTCAAGATTGATAATATCAGTGACATTTAAGTCCAGTTTTCCACAGCAAAGTTCCTAAAAAGAAAGTTTATTTTAATCTCATTCTATTTTCATGTACTATAGATCTTCAGAATTTTGTGATATCTGTCCTATAACATTATTCTACCATTTTAAAATTATTTCTTAGAATACTTTTTCAATTTTACCATTTTTCAGATACTTCATTAAAATAACTAGAAGAATTATTAAAACTTTTTTTTACTATAATCACTTTTATACTTTTATTAAAAAGGATCTTAGTATAAGGAAGTGCTCAAAAAGTATGCTACTGTAAATGTATACTCACAGTTACATAGTCACTGGAATAAGTAAGAAGGCAGGTCCACCAAGCAATAAAAACAGAAATTGGCACAATTTTCCCCATTGATCCTGGTTTTCTTTTGCCAATAATACATCAGAGTGTTATGCTTACCTTCCCTGCTAGGACCTCAGCTTCTCTCAATAACTAGTTATAGATCTGTTCATTATAAATTTGTAAAGTAGCTCTTCACTCTGATCCCATCCCCCAGAGACCAATTCCTCCTTCCAGTATGTCAACTCTGATAACTTGTTCAGCTTTGCTTCACAGCCTAGACCTCAGTCAACTACTTCAATAGAATTGCCAACTCTCTGAATTCCCTTTTTTTCTGCTGCTGCTACCTTGCTAATCTCTACTTGGGGGCTGTTGCTTTTCTTCTATTTCTAGGCTCCCCTGCAATGCTACAGAGCATCACGTAAATACTGTTTCTGATTGACCTCTATGAACAATCATGGAGTCAAGCTTTAGTTTGACCCATAGTGCTTGGTGTTCTGGATCTTCTTAGTCCCTTGGCTTTTGTTGCTTTTTGCATGTGAAAAACTCCCATAATTGTATCTCCGGCCCAGCCCAGGTATCACTCCTTGGCAGCAGATATGGGTATCTCAATGTATGTTGGAGGTTTCCATGTGGATGTCCTGTAAATAATTCAATATACATAAAACTTAACTCCTCTTAAATCCATCATTCCCATCTGCCCCTGCACCCTGGCACAATGAATGTCACCCCATTCATGTAGTTGCCCATGCCAATAAAACAAGTTATTCTGAAATACTCTTTCCCTCACCTTCCACATCTAACCACTCTCCAAATCCTATTGATTGGATATGTAAAGCTCTTGACAACTACTATTTTTCTCCATAACACCTAATTCAGGTCCATAGTTTTTGGCAGTTTTGTCTCTCCTTCTGTCCGTTCCCCCTGTTCAGCCAGTACTAGCTTCCTGAAAATATCATGCTACTTTTCTACTTAAAACATTTCAGTTAACACCTGAGTAATTACTTTTAAATGGTCATTGTCCTTGAAATAAAATTTAATTAATGTCTTAGTTGACTTAAGACTTTTGTGACCTGGCCTCTGCTAACGTTTCCTGTTTAATCTATCAATTAAAACTCTGCTTCAGCCTGTGGAACTGTTAGTGCCTTGTCCCTGCTGTTCTCCTTACCTCCAGCCAGCCATCACTTGAAAGGTAATAAAGAGCTGGAAAGAAAGCTACTGAAGTTGGAACTGAAGTTTGGTGTACAGATAATAAAACTGTGCTTCTACTGTGTATAAGCTGGGAATCAATGTAGTTACTTAGTCATCTTAGTCCTTTCCATATTCTTTATCAACTTAAAGAAACTAGTTGATTATAAAAAAGTAAGAGGTACCAAACTTTAATTTCATGAATGCTATCTTTCCTAACAGCCTGGGGTTCAACATTGTGCTTTATGGTTTGGGTTCTAAGAGAGATTTACTAGAAAGGTTTCGAACCACTGTGCTGCAAGATTCCATTCACGTTGTCATCAACGGCTTCTTTCCTGGAATAAGTGTGAAATCAGTAAGTTTCAAAAACGTTAAAAGGAGCAACATTATATCCCTGCCAATCCATACCCCTACATTAATGAGGATGCTACTTCTCATTCTGGAACATTCAAATTTTTTTAGCCTTTACACTAGTAGAATTGCATAGTGCTTAAGAACATATGTTTGGACTCAGGGTTCTAGCTTTGAATCCTCATCTCTGAATTTCCTACTTTGTAACTGATAAATGTATTAAATCTTAGAGAAATGTTAGTTTTGTTTACTATCCCAAATACCAACAGTACTTCTCTGAAAGACAGGATTATGGAAAACTTCAGTTTTATTATGCTTTTATGTCACTTTGGTACTCTAAAAGTAATAATATAAATAATAGTTTGTAGTTTTATAATGCATTTATTATAGATCATTTCAGTGCAAATGCTCATGTCTTTTCATCATTTGAAAACTAAACCTTTTGGTGCTGGATATTAACCACTGCAGTATTCCTTTTTAAAAGTGTCTTTAATTCCTTTTTAAAAGTGTTTGTATCTTGTTTCCTTTGATAGATCTATGGTTTTCTCATGTTTCCCATATTGGTGGGGGGTGGTATTTTGCTACCCTCTGATCTATACATCTTTGCTGTTCTTCCATGTTTCATTTTAGCTGTAACTTATGCCAAAAAATGAATTAGATATACTTAAGTACCAGTAGAATTTTTTAAGTGGTTTTTCAGACTTGATGGGAAATCTAAATGCATTTTTAACTTATAAAAAAGGATTGATTTGTTAGTTGTATTTATCCTATATGACAGAATAAGTAGTAATTGATGTACCTCTTGCACTTTTATGATACAGATCCTGAATTCTATAACAGAAGAAGTCCTCGATCATATGGGTACTTTCCGCAGTGTATTGGATCAGCTAGACTGGATAGTAAACAAATTTAAAGAAGGTAACATGAAGTAGATGCTCTCGTTTTAGGGTGAAGCTAAGTGTGCACTTCTGCTTATTCATGTACAGGTAGATGGTCCCCAACTTAAAATGGATTGACTTACCATTTTTTGACTTTATGATGGTGCAAAAGCAATATGCATTCACTAGAAATCATACTTCGAATTTTGATCTTTTCCTGGGCTAGTGATATGTGGTACCATACTCTTCTTGTGATGGGCAATGACAGAGAGCCACGGCTCCCAGTCAGCCTCATGAGCATGAAAGTAAATAACCAATAAACTTACAACTGTTCTGTACCCATACAACCATTATTTTTAAATTTCAGTATTCAATAAATTACATGGGACATTCAACACTATTATAAAATAGGCTTTGTGTTTTTGCCCAACTGTAGGCTAACATAAGCATTCTGAGTACATTTAAGGTGGGCTAGGCTAAGCTATGATGTTTGGTAGGTTGAATGTATTAAATGCATTTTCGACTTATATTTTCAAGTTAGGATGGGTTTATTGGGACATATCCCCATCTAAAACCAAGGAAGATCTGTATTATTGTATACAAAAATGTGGATTATTTCAGTAACACTTATCTAAATGCTGATTTAGATTTCTCTGAAATAATTTGTCCTTTCTTTTTCCATGAAGTTTTTCTGTGAACTTCACTTATACCTAACAGGAAAGAATTGCTCATACTCCCTTGAATTTGTATAATCAAAAGCCTATTATTTCAGAATAGTTTTCAGGTTTTACTTGGCCCATGTGAAATGCCCCCAGGTGATAGGTGCATCTCTGGTATTTTTATATTGTTTAATATTTTTATAAAACATTTTTATCTCTCTAATTGGAGTAAATATCATTGCATTTGAATAGTTTCATACACTAAAATCTGTGGAATGGAAAAAAACATTTAAAGATTTTATTTATTCATTTGACAGAGAGAGCTGGGGGAATGGCAGGCAGAGGGAGAGGGAGAACCAGGCTCCCCACAGAGCAGGGGGAGCCCGATGTGGGACTCGATCCCAGGACCCTGGGATCATGACCTGAGGCGAAGGCAGTCACTTAACCAACCGAGCCACCCAGGCGCCCCATTTTTGTTACTCTTTTGGTGTGAATGTTTTAGCTATGTGAGCATTTCAGAAAATTAAAAATAAGATTTAGGGTCCAACAGTTGACAGTCACTAAAGAGTTTTTTAAGATTTTGTTTATTTGAGAGCGAGCGAGCACAGAGGCGAGTGAAAGGGAGAAACAGACTCCCTGCTGAGCAAGGAGCCCGATGCGGGACTCCATCCCAGGACCCCAGGATCATGACCTGAGCTGAAGGCAGACGCTTAACCGACTGAGCCACCCAGGCGCCCCTAGTCACTTAAGAATTAAAAGGAGTGGGATGCCTGGGTGGCTCAGACAGTTAAGTGTCTGACTCTTGATATCAGCTCAGGTCTTGATCTCAGGGTGGTGAGTTCAAGCCCTATCTGAGGCTCCATGCTGGGCATGGGACCTACAGTAATAATCTGATGGAGAATTTTGATAGTTTATATGCTCATGAAAATAGGTGCCTAAGTCATTTTATATGTATATATTCATATATAATGCCTATTTTATATATTTATATAAAACATACTTGTAATTATATAAATTGTAATTATATACATTTGCATATGGGTATATAATTTGAATATATAACTACACAATTCAATTAAATATATAGTATAATGCACATGATGTAAATATGTCAACATTTAAGTATAATTCAACTATAAAATAGAAATGTTTATATATAATTTAAATACTGATGATTATGGTGGCTTCTAGACTTTCAAAATGTTGTCAGAATCTTTGTTGCTGTGTTGTCTCTCTTGTCCCTCTAACCCCAGTGGTAGAGAAATTTAGTCTAAAAGGCTCATCCTCCGTTATGTCCTATTTTTTTTTTTTTTTAAAGATTTTATTTATTTATTTGAGACAGAGAGAATGAGAGAGACAGAGAGCACACGAGAGGGGGGAGGGTCAGAGGGAGAAGCAGGCTCCCTGCCGAGCAGGGAGCCCGATGCGGGACTCGATCCAGGGACTCCAGGATCATGACCTGAGCCGAAGGCAGTCGCTTAACCAACTGAGCCACCCAGGCGCCCCCGTTATGTCCTATTTCTTAACAACTCCAGAGAGACTTATCAATGGCTTTTGAACATGTATAGGACTTCTTCCATCATAAAAAAAGGTTTACCTGATTCTACTGCCCTTCTGTACTTCTATTTTCCTAGTTCAGTGATTTCAGAGTTTTTGAAGACATATCCTTTCTACTTTTTACCTATTTCCTTAATTTCTTACTTCTGTGCTACCTGAACTATATGCTTGAAAATCACCTGTAATTTTCTTACTAAACACAGGTGGCCTTGACTCATCCTTTGTTTATCTTGATCTCTGAAAGTATTTAATGGTTTTGACAGCCCCATCCTCCAAATTCTGCCTTCATTGACCTTTAAGACATTTTTTACTTCTCTGAGTTTCCTGATGCCTTGAGCAATATCCTAAATTCCACCCCTCCCTTCTTTTGTCTTCTTTGGCTTTTGTGATAATCAGGGTTTTCTCTCTTAATGCCTAGTGAGAACTTCTGGGGTGTGTGTGTGTCCCCTCTCCACTCCTGCGCTGCAGTGCAACATGTCTAGATTTACTTCCAACCCAGAATGCATCTTCCCTTATTTCCTGTGCCTTATTGAAACTGCTTTATGATATGATTCAGGTGCTAACCATTCAACACCCAGTCCTTACTGATTTTCAGTGAATTTCCTTAAGACTTTAATAATCTTTTGCCTCTTTTGAGAGGCTGGTATCTTCTCAAATTACATACCTCTATGCAATAGTTACTTTGTCCCATACTATTCTTTGACACATCTTTTAATACACAGGCATTGTGTGTGGTAAGGACTTTACAAATATTCCTTGTAAATAATAATTGAATTGTCTTTCCTTTTAGATTCTTCTTTAGAACTCTTCCTTCTCATCCACAATTTGGATAGCCAAATGTTGAGAGGAGACAAAAGTCAGCAAATTATTGGACAATTGTCATCTTTACGTAACATATATCTTATAGCATCTATCGATCACCTCAATGCTCCTCTCAGTAAGTATTACCATTTTTCTTTCTCAGGATACCAGTTTTTAAAAATGTCTTCATGTTGTAAATCGCAACATTTTTATTGTTTCTCAGTACACTTTTTTTGTTGCATGCATAAAGTCACAGATTGCTAAAAATAAAAGTGTCCTCAATCTGATTCAGAACATTTCTTAGAAATAAAAATTCATATTGTAAAGGGGGTGTTTTACACCTGAAGTTTCATGAAGGAGAATAAACCCAATTATTATTTTGGTCTCTTTCCACTCTTTGTGGTATTGCAACATTTATGTTATGCATTTAATTCCGAGACTCTGATAATCCCTATGCCTTGGTAGCACTTACTTATTTTAAATTGTATTTAATATACAAATAAAGATTCAGGTGTTGATTGACAATTAGATTGTGAGGTACTGATATGGATGGGGAAATGGCAAAAATGAAAAATTTTCAGGATTCATTTTTTAACACTTTCTTTCCTAGAGTGGAATCTAGTAACACCACAATATGACTAATTAGTAACTCCTGTTTTCTTTAATCATATGCTATAGTGTGGGATCATGCAAAGCAGAGTCTTTATAACTGGCTCTGGTATGAAACTACTACATATAGTCCTTATACTGAAGAAACCTCCTATGAGAATTCTCTTCTGGTTAAACAATCTGGATCATTACCACTTAGTTCCCTAACTCATGTCTTACGAAGCCTTACCCCTAATGCAAGGTAAGAATGAAAACCATAGTTTCTTTTTTAAAAAACTCTACATTTTATGATATTCATGAGTAGCTTTTAATGACAATTCTAAAGTCTCTACTTAGTTTGCAGGATTAAAAGAAAGAGTAAAAAAGAGTTGCCAGTACTGGGTTATGCAATAGCCAGACTCCTTAACAATAGTGTCAGCATTTTTTTTTTCCTTAATTTTTATATTTCTAAATAAGAGCATCTCAAGATAGTGGTCATTGTGGAGGAAAAATAATTTTGATGAATTTTACTTAAATCTAATGGTTATTTTTAATTATATATTGAACACTGTCATATAAACATGGGACCCTTTACATGAAATAACTCCTTTGATCCTCACAACCACTCTAAGGTAGATAGCAAAGGGCACAGAGATTTTGATCCAAATCTGCCTGGCTCCCAAGCTCTTGCTTTTAAACATCTCTGTAATCTCTCCAGTGAAGCCTTTCAGCAGCCTCACCAAGAGGCATATCTGAATTAATAAAAGCTAAGAAAAGCTGGATACAGCATAAACTGGCAAAACATAAAGGGCACAATAATTAACCTATTGAAAAAAGCTTTGAGTAGCAGATTCCCCCCGCCAAAGCACAGAATTCTAGAACAATTTTTTTTTTTTTTTAAGATTTTATTTATTTATTTGACAGAGACACAGCGAGAGAGGGAACACAAGTAGGGGGAGCAGGAGAGGGAGAAGCAGGCTTCCCGCAGAGCAGGGAGCCCGATGTGGGGCTCCATCCCAGGACCCTGGGATCATGACCTGAGCCGAGGGCAGACGCTTAACGACTGAGCCACCCAGGCTCCCCTCTAGAACAATTTTAACAAGATGAAGTGTTTAACAACAACTAGCCCTGTTGAGAATAATTAAAATTTGAAAAGATGAAGAAAAATACTGTGTTCTTGGGTGAGTGGACTGAATATTATAAAGGTAGCAGCTCCTCCCAAATTAGGATGTATTAGACCTATAAATTAATCCGAACAGATGATTTTTCTTGTGTTTTAAATTTGACACAAAATGCAGTTTCTTAAAGAAGGAGGTGAGACTAGCAAAGTCTTTTTCTCCCAAGAGCAATGGCACTTCTAGTTAAGATGGTACAATACTTTTCACACTTTAATGATGAATTTTGTTACTCCATAAAGCTACTTTGTATACCTGAAGATTAGCATTGCATTAATATTGAAATGTGCATTAAATGACTAATCAAAGTTTCTATGGAATTGCAACCGAAAAAGTCTCATTCAGTCTTACTGTGCTTACTGTTAATGGACTAGTGCAAGTTGCTGTGTATAGCGTTGGGAATCTATGCAACATAAGTACTCTCAACATTAAAGATGACTCGCAGTGCTCTAAAGCAAGTAGTTTTTAGTTTGGCATACCCTAAATGTCTGTGTACTAGCCTCCACTGCTTTTTTTTTTTTTTTTTTAACTGCAATTTTGTTTCATTCTGCAAACTCCAATATCATTTAGTCTCTATTTGGTATGAATGTGATCAAAAACTTTAACCAACCTTTAGCTGTGGAGTCACTGGCAGTATCTAGTTATAATGTGGCCATTCAGATGATCCAAATATGCTTATAGTGCTTATTTTCTAGATTATCTTAAAAATGTAAATGTAAAGGATTAAAGTTTTTGCCACACCAAAGGACTTCTGGAAATCTTAGTGTGGGTGAGATGCTTTCAGCCCTAATCCACTTTGTACACTTCTGTCAAAATTGATATGTAAGAATATTTATGTACAATTTAGTGTGGAGGGATTTTTAACAATTAAAACTGGAAGTAATATAAACATCCAAAATGAGTAGGGCAATGGTAAATTTGTGGTACATGATAGGTGGGCAGCCATTAAAAATTTAGGAAGACTTTTTAATGATACAGGAAAATAAGTGAAAGGTGAGATGTAAAATAGTGTATACTATATATAAATGCATGAATTTGTGTTTCCACCTTGCTTCATTGACAAAGATTTGCAAAGGCAGCACACAAATATTTCCACATCAAATGTTAGTGGCTGTTATTTTAGGGTTATGACATTAATATTTTCCTCTACATTTTATTATATATTCCACATTTTCTAACTTGAACAACCCTGTAGCCTTAAAAAAAACTCCTAGATTTTCCTTAAAAGGAAATTTTAAAAAGCTTCTCCTTTTTAAGTAGGCCAGGATAGGATGTTCCCTGGAGAAAGGAACAGAAGAAAATACATACGGTTTAAACCAAGTATTTCACGTTATCTTTGTCTATTTTACTGTTGTCTTTTGATGTTAACGTTCTGGATTTGAATTCCTGTTTTGTTTTTTTCCTTAGGGGGATTTTCAGGCTACTAATAAAGTATCAGCTGGATAACCAGGATAACCCTTCTTACATTGGTATTTATGATATTAAATCGTGTGTGACTTTTGTTTCCCCCCATAAATTCCTTTTTCTGGAATCTAAGAATAGCACTGCAGTGTTTCACAGGAGCAGATACGTGGTTTGCTCCGGGATCAGTTTGTCTGCCACATGGCACATTTTCAAGAAGCCCCCCAGAGACACTGCTGAACAGGCCGTTTGCCAGTGCACGCCCAAAGACACATGTGGCCTGTTTTTACATTTCCTATGGTAACTGTGGATATGTGTCTACCAATTACATATATTTCATATGCTGGGCATCTTAGCAGATTTTCTTCCCCTTAGGTAAAAATGTGTTAATTTAGACAAAGATTTTAATAATCGTGCAGCTCTCTTGACTTACTAGTTCCTTCTTTAAAAGTCAACTTTATTCATGCTATTTAAAGCTGTCCACAAGATTTGTTTTACTTGGTCACAGATGACTGCTTTCAGCCAGTCAGTTCCCTTTAAGATGTAAGCCACAGCGTATAATACTTAAGTGTTCTCTAGTTTTGCTTCATCCAGAGGTACCTTTTTTTTTTTTTTTAATCCATACTGACTGACTGCTTTGACATACTATGGCAACAGCTTGTGTTCTTTGGTATGGGTACCCATATGTGGGGTCATGTCTTAAATGCTGACTTATGTTCACATCTCCTTTTGAACTCTCTAGGATTTTCTTTTCAAGATTTTTACCAACAGTGTCGAGAGGCATTCCTGGTCAATAGTGATCTGACACTTCGGGCCCAGTTAACGGAATTTAGGGACCACAAGCTTATAAGGACAAAGAAGGTGAGAGTTTTGCTATTACAGCATTATATGCTAGGATTACCTTATCTTTGTTTACTTAAGGACACTTATGCCTTTGACTCAACTTTGACAATAAAATGCAGGTTCCATGATGGGCCACAAGGATCCATTTAGGGGGTGTGCCATTTGAGTTCTATAGAAAGAGATAAAGTAGAAGTACTCAGCTTCAGAGCAGAAAACTTAGAGTTCTAGTTCAAGAGTAATAGGCCATTAGAAATAGCAGTCAAATAATTCTATTCCTTTTTTCCCCTCTTCCTTCTACCACATTCGTTAATTGGGTCTATATGGAGCACTAAGTATTAGGATATAGTAGTAAGCAAAAACCTAACTCCTTTCTGATAGAGCTTAAAGTCTAATGGAGGAGATGGACATTTGTCAAATAATCAAACACATGTAAAGCTTTAACTGTGGTGTCCTATGAGCAGAAAGACACATGGTTCTGAAAGACGTCAGAGTCACATTAGACCACTGAGCTGAGATCTAGAGGGAAATTGGGAGGTAACTGGTCAAAGAGAAAAACTGAAAGGCCAGTGTGCCCCAAGACGAGGCTGAAAAGACAATGACGTAAAGGCTAGCCCACACGCTACTTTTAGGCCAAGGAAAGGATTTTAATCTTCATTTGAAAATTAAGGGAAGTCATTAAAAAAAATTGTTCTGACTCTGGTACGGAGAATGGAATGGAGTAGAGTGGAGTAGGGATTGCTAAATGTCAAACACACAGAGACCAGCTAGGGAGGTGTGTTAGTAGTCATAGTTAGTAGGAGTAGTAGTTAGAGCTGATGGTAACTTGACTAGGATGAAGACAGAAAAGTGGTTGGAGATCAGATACACTTGAGAGGCAAAACTGACAAGAATTGATAGATTGGATATGAGCACCAAGGGAAAGTGTCAAGAATGATTTCTGGTGTCTGGCTTGCATAACCAGAGAAATGGTGAGATCACTGGATGAGAAACATTTTTGGGGAAACAGATCATGAGTTCCTGATGGTAGTGTTTGGACTTACTCTGTTTGACGTTCTTTTGAGATTTCCAAATGGAGATGTCAACTAGGCAACTGGGCTTCCTAGGAAAAGAAACCAGAGGAAAGATCTGAGCTAGAGCTAGATTAATCCCTGTGTATTTAGGTTGTAATGAAAACCAGGCATTGGTAGGAGAGAGATTAGAGGCCAGGAACTAAGCCTAGAAGTGTGACATTAATGGCCAAGAAGAAGATAAACGTGTAGAGGCAGGAGAAATAGCCAGACAGCCAGAAAGAAAACCAGAATATGATGTCATAGAAGCTAAGAGAAGCATGTTTTAAGAAAGAACAGTCAGCTGTGTCAGGTTCTGCTAAGAGGCCAAAAAGATGAAAACTGAAAATATGTATTGGATTCAGCAGTAAGGAATTCCTTGGTGGTCCAAACAGAAGGTCTTTTAATGACATGATAATGGTGGTAGTATCTAGGTTGGACTGGGTTGAGTGAAAGGTGAGGAAACAGACACCAGTAATTATTGACAACTCTTCTGGAAAGGTACAGAGGTTGGGTGATAGAAATGAGAGTTTAGCGAGGGTTATTTAAAAAGGGCAGCACCTGGCTGGCTCAGTCAGTAGAGCATGTGACTGTTGATCTCAGGGTCGTGAATTCCAGCCCACGTTGGGTGTAGAGATTACTTTTTAAATTTTTTTTTTAAAGATTTTATTTGAGAGAGAGCTTGAGCAGGGGGAAGGACAGAGGCAGAGGGACAAGCAGACTTCCCACTGAGTGGGGAGCTCGGGACGCTTGGATTGCGTCCTGTGCAGGTGGCCTTTGCTTGACTTGTTCAGCCAGGTGCCTGGAGATTACTTTTTTAAAGGGGCGGGGGGGGGGTGTATGGGGGGTGGAGATACCTGGATAAAAGAACAGAGAAATCAGTAGGGTAAGATTCTAGAAAGAGGAGGGTAAAGAGATCTACTCACCCTCTAGTCTTCTTTTCTACTATGAAGTGGTTTAACTATAAACTCAGTGTATTTAAATAGATAACCCTACGTACCCTTTTGCCTTAATCTTTACATTTCTATATTTCTATAAAATAATAAATGGTTCACCTATATCGCTTTACAAGTGACTAACACCCAGGGTATTCTCACTTCTTTTAGGGAACTGATGGAGTGGAATATCTATTAATTCCTGTGGACAATGGAACACTGAGTGATTTCCTGGAAAAGGAAGAAGAGGAGTCTTGAAGTTGTCCTTTACTCTTGAATCTTTTGTGGAAGGAGGGGTTGTACCCCAGCTGCCACTCCTCTAGTCTAAAGTGTTGTGTTTACATCTAACATTAGACTCTTCCAGTGTACAAGACTGAAGATGGGAGGGGAGGAATGTCATCAGTTAGAACCTTGATTAGCCTGGCTGGTGTACCATCTCTATACTATGCAGCGGTCCTCAAGTTGGAGAAAACGTGCCTTTCATTCATTACCTCTCTGGAGACTTCTTGCTGGAATGAACAGTGTGCTCAGGGACTATTTGGAGCTGGATGTTTTTGAATTCTTTTATACTGGAGATATTATTCCTAATTTTTTGAGGGCCTTTTAAACACTCCCAGAGCTGATTGTTTGCAAATGTGTTTGTTCCAGAGCATGGAAGTACAAAAACAGTGACATCACATAAATCTATTTGCTGTTCTGTCAGAGCTGACGAGTGTAAAGGCGGCAGATCATCTTCCTGTTCTTAAAAGGCTTAAAAAAGGTGTGTAAGACTGGGGAAGAGTAGGTGATCTAGCTTTCTCCTTTTGGATTTAGACTCCATGCTGGTGGGGTGGGGGAAGAGGGAATGACCCTCTTCAGTTGGGATAGTGGGAAAAGCATAATGAGCATATCGGGTGTATACCCACCTTAGAAAGCACATGAACAATAATCGTGATACTTGGAACAGCCAACATCTGCGCCATCACCTTCATGACACAAGTAAGAAGCCAGGCTACAGAAACACAGTCCTGAATTACATTTTAGGCATTGTTTTCAAGACAACAGGAAAAAAAAATGTAATTATTCTTGCATTGACATTTTTCTTCAATAACTTATGAGTAGCATATTAATGGCTGATTTTAATCTTGACTTCTCTATCAAGTAGACCCAAAACTCACTGTAAGATGTTTCGGTTTTTTTCTTAAAGTAACAATTTCAAGCCCTCTAAATATTTACACGAGCCTTTTTCCTTAGGAAAGAGAAAAAGGCTAACTTTGGCCACTGCTCAGCTTATAGTCTTCACATACTCTCTAAAATACTTCATACTTGGAAATGAAATTTTTCAATAAAATATCACTGTAATTGAAACTGCTGATGCGGTACATACTTTATTTTGTAAAGCCCTTTCATGAAACTGTTTCCCAAAATGCTCAGAATTTAAGTCTTTTCTCTTTGTGGCATATAATTTGTTAAATCCATGGATAAGGGTTTAGTCATATATAATCAAAATATTTTAAAAAACTAGTACATGAATTTGATTCTAAAAATTTTTGTTACCAAAGGATATTCAATAAAAAGTGAGTTTCCTTCCCCTTCACCGATCCAGTCCCTTACGCAACCAGTGATAGTTTATTCCTCCAGAGGTATTCTATGCACACGGAAGGGTATGTGTCTGTATCTCCTTTTAAAAACACAAATGGTAGCATATGATATGTGCTCGTTTGCACCTTGCTTTTTTTGCTTAATATATGTAGTTTATAACTTGTAGTATAAAAGGTATATAAAATCTTTAATGACCTAATATGCAAATTTTGCATTTGCCCCTAAATATCTACTGGTTTATTTTTATAATTTTTGTGTCCATACTACTAATAAGCAGTATGTGTCAACAGTCTATTAATAAATAAAAAGCCAATTTGGATAGAACCACTTTTTTATAGTACTGGTTTTTTACTAAAAATATTTTTAAGTCCTTCAAAAATTTATAAGTGCATCTTACAGATCTGAAGATCTGTAATTCTGCTAATTATTCTACACTCTTCATTAACTTGTTTCAGTATCAATGTTCCTTATACTCTTACCGGTTAAAGAGCTTGACTGCTAAGGCTCCCAACTTCTGTTACTTGCTTCTGACAAGAGTGAACAGACTGAAAACCTTGAAAGATTTTTCTGACTGCTCTTAATAAAATGGCCAAATCGGGGGACCTGGGTGGCTGAGTCGTTAAGCGTCTGCCTTCAGCTCAGGTCATGATCTCGGTGTCCCAGGATCGAGCCCCGCATTGGGCCCCTGCTCCACGGGGAGTCTGCTTCTCCCTCTGACTGCCGTTCCCCCTGCTTGTGCTCTCTCGGACGAATGAATAAATAAAATCTTAAAAATAAATAAAATGGCCAAATAAACAGGCCCAAAAAAGGCACAGGGGATGTCGAACAGGCATTCTTGCACCCTATAAAAGTTGACATAACACTGCATTCCTGATGCAGAGAGTGCTAAATCAGTTCTTGTAATACTGTAGAAACTGATTTTCTTAGCATGTTTGTCATTTTAATACATGAACATTCATATAAAAGATGAGTGAGTTTAGGGAATGGTTAATAGATTTTGCTTCTCTCTTTTTAAAAAACTTACTTTAGAAGTCTACTTTTTTTCCCTCTAATTCAATGTGGAGCCAGTAGCATTGTTCAGAATGTTTATTCTAGGAGGTGAGAAGACTCTTCCAGCTTAGTCCTGAGTAACCATCAGAGATGACAAAGTCAGGAGGGTCTGCCTTATCAGACTGTGTGGCTCCTAAAACTGAGGAATAAAAAAAGAAGTGTTACGCAAATGACTTTGTTCTTGGGCTTTCTGTGATTACTTGACTTCTCCCTTAGGAGAGTCTCCTACATTTTGGTATTTCAAATTGCTGTTAGAACATTTTCATTCATGTGTGTTGAACACTTCCTACACAGACGGCTCTGTGCTAGATAGAGGAGTTGTAAGGAATATGAAGGAAGAAATATTATGGGGTGTTAATAGCATTAAAAGTTCCAGTATTCTTAATATGCTGAAAAGAAGTCTGAAATAACTGATGCTATGGAAAAGGGAACTTTAAATGTGAGGTTAACAGAAAGCTCCTCAGCACACGCTCTAACAATTTGGGACACAGCAGCACACTTCGGCCTTGTGCCCGCCCGCACACTCAGGTCACCACCTTCACTTCTGCTGCCTAACACGCGGTCCTTGAAATGGCAGCAGCTGCAGCAGCTTTCCCTCGGGAACACACAAGTGCTGGGGCCCTACTCGGGCATCTGAATTGGTCTGCATTTTTTAAACTACATCTCCATACATTCTAATGCACATTGAGTTTGAAAAGCAATGAGATATACAACTAAACAATCAACACCTTAAAGTTATCAGTTCAGAAAATTTGACAAGTGAAAATAAAGAATTCATCTTTGGTGATACTTTATTTTTAAAAACTACAGAGGACATATTTGGGGGTATTTTTAGTTATTTAGAAACGCTAGCATGCCAGTAAAAAAACTTTAAAAATTGTAGTAACAATGGCATTCTTTAACAACAACAACAACCAACCAATTTGGCAATAAGCATGTCCAATCATAAACAAATTCTTTGATCCATTAAATCCCTTCGAAACTCTAACAAAAGGAATTTAATCCACAACCTTCAGGATGAGTTAAAGGTGAAATGTCCTAACTTCAGTGTGCCACAAAGGAAAAAAAGGTTTAAGCATCACTGCCCCCAAGCTATTTCTTAAGCATCATCTCTGACCATTATCATTCCTGCCTCCCGCTTTCTGCCCTGACAATAATGGATGACTTACTTGGGCTTTTTCAATGCACTGAAAAAGTGCTGTTTCTCTATACTTAGCGTTTGTTCAAGCTGTGCCTCTTGACTGAATTCTACCCCCTTGCCCCAGGAAACCTTCCCTGTAAGCCCTCTGCGTATCTTTAGCATAGGTAATTACAGTAAACCCTTAAGTATCACCCAAACTTCTGTCCTATTCTCCCCACATCTCCATGGGCCCGGCACATAGAACACAGCAATGACTGAGGCAAATGCCACTAAGAGTATCTCAAAGCTGTCTGCTCTCCCATTGGCTCGACTTTGATGTCGACCATCCCTCATCAAAGTTTTCTCCTTGGGGCGCCTGGGTGGCTCAGTTGGTTAAGCGACTGCCTTCGGCTCAGGTCATGATCCCGGAGTCCCGGGATCGAGTCCCGCGTCGGGCTCCCTGCTCGGCAGGGGGTCTGCTTCCCCCTCTGCCCTCTTCCCTCTCGTGCTGTCTCTCATTCTCTCTCTCTCAAATAAATAAATAAAATCTTTAAAAAAAAAAAAAAGTTTTCTCCTTGGCTTCTGATGCTTTGCTGATTCTCCTCCCACCTCCTCTCCTAGCTCCTCCTCCAACCCTCGAATTGGGGGCATTTCTTAAGGCTCGGTCCTATTGGTTATTTCTGTGGTGAATCCACAATATTACAGGTGAACCCACCAAGAATAATTTGTAAGTTAGGATCCCAAATCCTCCAGGAGACGACTGGTAGGATAAGGGTCCTACAAGAGAAATAAAATTCTTCCCTTTCTCATCTTACACAGTATTTTAAAAGACTGGCTTTTGTCATTACCAAAGGAAAAATCTCAGCAGAGAAACTGGAAATATATATAGAAGAATTCGAAAGAAAAAACTCCCATACCACCCAGAGAAAAATCCCAGCTAAAATGGATTTCTTTTTCCTTCAGGATTTCTTACATACCTCCTGTATCAGGTTTCTCGTCAATGTTCATTAAGAAGTAGTTAAGAACACAGACTCTGGAGCCAGACTACCTGAGTTTGTGTCCAAACTCCTGTCATTTCCTAGCCATGTGGCCTTGGGCAAACTCCTTAACCTGTTTCAGTTTACTCATCTGTAAAATGGAAATCATAATACCTATATTCTTGTTTCTCAAGATTGAAAGTGTTTATAACATACCTGAGAATGCCTAGCACAAAGTTAATATTGTATGATAACTGGGATTATTCTAAAAGCTAACCATCTTTTTATATTACTAATAAAATTCCATGGGTGTTATATATAAACAATGAATCATGGAACACTACATCAAAAACTAATGATGTAATGTATGGTGATTAACATAACATGATAAAATATTACTAATAAAATTCCAGGTGAGTTACCTAAAAAGCAATAAAACAATAGTCATGAATAATGATCTATATTAAAAAACAAAAAAAACATAAAACCTCACCCTGATTCTGAAATTTAGGTCAAAGATTAGTGATCTGAGAATGGGAACATAGAGATAGATGTTATCACCCCCTAGAGGCTACTACCTAGAAATAAGTGTTCCAATCTCAAGTTAAACTAACTGAGGGCAGAGAGATCTAGAACGACACATCCCATCTATAAGTAAGCTAAGGAGAAGACTGCTTGAGCAACTCACCCAGAATGTTAAGTAAACAGATTTCAGTGGATCTCTCCTGGAGTTTATAATGAATATATGCTTTACACTGTATAATCATCTTAATTCATCTTATAATGAATACTTGTTCTTGAATGGTAGTTATGGTTTTTACCATATGAGCTACAGAACATTTGGTGAAGCAGATTTACAAACCAGAAATAATGTACATTCTAAGACATTCTTCCAGGAGGATTCTAACTCCACTGATTCATGTTATGCATTCAAGTTGGGAGGCAATCGATTTGCAGAGTGTCATCCTGTTATTCCTGTATGCTTTATACCACATGAAGAGGGTCCCTGTCTGTCTCTGACAGGATAATATTAATCTTATTCTCCAAGTGAGCACCCAGCATATCTCGAAGATCAGAAAGAAAGCCTCGTTCAGTGTTGCTATGCTCACAGAGGATGACATTTATTCCTTGGGATGCAGCATCCAGAACATCATGATGGGACATCTCACCTGCCAACAAAGGAAAGAGCAAATACTGAAATATTGGACATGGAGTCTGTAGAATGCTGAACCATAAGTCAGGTACAGGTTTTCTTACATGTCCTCCAATTTAGAAAGAGACCATCCCACTGAGAATTCCAAATTCTTCCTCCTTGGCCTGCTCAAGACCAGTTTCTAAAGCCGCATATGCAACAGTTTCTAACACTGCCAGAACCAGACCCATAAGGACACCCATTCCAAATGTTTCCATTAGTGGCGCCTGGGGGGGGCTCACTGGTTAAACTTCTCTCTTAATCTCAGCTCAGCTCTTGATCTCAGGGTTATGAATTTGAGCCCTGCATTGGGCTCCATGCTGGGCCTGGAGCCTACTTTAAAAAAAAAACAAAAAACAAAAAATGTTTCCATTATAAAATAGGTGACCACTGTTAAGTAAACTGGGGCTTTCAGAAAACTCTCTCGTATAAATATTACATAACAAATACCTCCAGAAAATCCTAGGTATACTTTCCAAAGACTCCTTTATGCTTTGTGAACACCAAAATTTTCAGTATAAACTCTAGTCTAATTCATAGAGATGAAATGAGTTTAAGATTATTTCTAAATTAAAGACAGGTAAAAAAATAAAAACAGGGCATTTATTTTCCTTTGACTAAGGAAAAATTTCTAGAAATTCTGAAGTTACTGGCAGAAAAGGATCTCATCTTTTATAAAAAGATTTTGGGAAAACTCAAGTGTTTTGAATTTTTAAAAAACCCCATTTGTGAATCTGATGACTTCAAATTTAACAGCAAAAAGACACTGCACAATTTGGCTTGTTCATAATAAGCATAATTTCGAAATACGTTTAGAGCCCTAAAATTTAGCATTAAAAAATTAAGAAAAAAAGGTTTTTTTCCCTGAGAAATTTTCAATCCCCCACACTTCCCCCTGCTCCCCAATATATGAAATTTCATAATATGGGATAGTTTTTATTCAAGCACCTTTTAAAATGTTTTTTTTTTTTTTTTAAGATTTTATTTACTTATTTATTTTAGAGAACGCGTGAGCGGAGGGGCAGAGGGGGAGAGAGACTCTCAAGCAGACTGCCTGCGGAGTGCGGTGCCCAGCCTCCCAACCCTGAGATCATGACCAGAGCTGAAACTGAGAGTCGGATGCTTGACTGACTGAGCCACCCAGGCGCGCCCAAAGTATCTTAATCTGTAATAGTGAAATATTTTAATCTGTAATAGAAAAAAAGACCCTAACTGGTCCAGTTAGAAGGCATGCTTCAGGAGAGACAAGTCTGGTGGCCTA